TGCAGGTACATGAAGCCCATCAAAGCCTGGCGAAGCAGCATAGCAGCAAGGCCAGCGACGGATTCTCAGGACAAATCCCTTTTTTTGGCGGGAAAAAACATATGTGTCTATTACAAGTATCTAATTCATTCTATACTAGGGGCAAATCACACAGGACTTTATGGTCAGTTTTGGAACGCACCGTATGCACATGAGATACATACCTTGAGAAGGTGACAAATGCCGGGAACACATGAGATGCATGTTTCTTTTGAATTTTTTGAATGGTATATGGGTGGTATGAACCCAAAAAGAAAAGATGATATGGGACTCCCTTCATTCTCATCCTCACAAAACGAGAATAACACACCGTGCATAACATGACATTCTCATCCTCCCTTCATTCTCGTCCTTCTAACATTGACATGTGAGAACTTTGTATACACACCGTGCATAAATATATACACATATCTGGAGTTCGAATCCTTTTCTGGAATCAAATCTGCAGGTCTTATCTCATGCAACCACTACCTGTTTGTCAATCCCGGCATTATAGGTTGCGGATACATGAGATGGGACTCTGACCTATTCACAACCACATGAGCGATTTGGTTCTTGTCATGGACTCTGTAGGGCTTGGGCCACCTTGGAATCCGAGATTCTGAGGATTTGAACAGATGAGATGCGTTTTGCTTTTTTACATTTCTGTCCTCTCTTTTTGGAGACCGTGGACAGATGACATAGGAAAGGTGGTGATTTGGAGGTCGTTGCACAACTCACAATGTCATCTGTACCTAGTATAATTCTTTCTTCCTTCTACTTGCCGCAAGGCGTACACCGCGGTACACCGCGGTACGGGCTTTTTTTCTTTCTTCCTTCTACTTGCCGCAAGGCGTACACCGCGGTACACCGCGGTACGGGGTCTTTTTAGCGCACCTTCTCGGCTTGCGGTGGGTGGAGATCAAACTTCTGCAGTTCAGCACTGGGAATCTCCTGGATCCACACGGCGACGGTGAGAGGGTTGGAGTTCGTTTCGTCAGCTGAAGGCTGCTTGAAGGCCGCGCCTTTGAACAAGCAATCTTCAAAGCACTATGGATGTGAGCTTCTAAGTACTAAAGCAAGTCTTTGCAACCTTGGCGTGCGTTGAAACTGAATCATCCACAGGCTACTGTATTCAGCGATTCTCACCCATGGTGAGCCCAGAAAATCCCATAGTGCGAGCCCATGCCTCCCACTACTCACCTATAGAACCTCAATAACCTCCTTTTTGGACCACCAATCGGACCAAGTATGGTTGAACTTCCTATCAACACGAAGGTCATGTCGGTCGGCCTCTCGCCCTGGCCTCCCATGGGTCGCATCGGTCGCCAACCCCACGGGATCAGTTGGAACCGGGTGAACAGAACAACACCTTCTCACCAAGAGACCGCCGAGCAAGTGGCATGCGCCTGAGCAATGGTTAACAACGAGAACAACACGTCTTGGGCTCCAAACGTTCATTGGATTGGTTTGAGGGAGACATCTCTATTGGTTTCACCCCAAACAACCTATGGGTTTCCTAGCATGTGTTCTGTAGACTTTCCCTCAAATCAGTTCTGAGTCGTGCATCCACGGCAACTAACCAGCATCAGCCAGGGAGTTCCATGATTCATTCATCACTGCACGGAGTTTGTAGACAAGATCAACAAAATACATTTTCTGTCTTGTGGCATGCAAAGCCAAGGTGTTCTAGATTCAGATTATTGAAATGCATAATATTTCGCAAATCTCCAGGTATTCGTGGCACTGAGCTCAGGGCAGGTGCATGGCAAAAGGAGGCCTTCTCCAACATGTCCTAAAGATGCAAAGATGCCAGTAGCGCCAGTAGTGAGATTCTTTGGGCGTGCCCGACTATAGGCCACTAGATACAGGATTATTTCAGCTGTCGCTATTGAACAACATTGAAGCTAGCAGCTAGTCAGTTAATCTTGTGGAGGCCCAGCCAAAATCACACACTCCCCAACAACTAGCAACATTCAAAAATCCCAACCCCATGATGTTCGCCACATCCTCTGCCTAAGAAGAGGTCAAAATCTCCCAAGGGCATCAAGGGTTCGCCCGAACGATCCTGACAATAGGTGATTCCAAGATGCTTGAAGGGTCAGTGGTTTGGTCAATCTTCAAGTCCCAAACAGGTCGTGTCTGCTTTCCGATCTTTGGCTATGGTGCAGTGGTTTTTCAGGGGCGGGATCCATTCCATACATCTTCCAGTCCTATACGGATGTATACTGGGTATACCGGTATACCTGCAAAACCGAGAGCCATCGGCCCTGGCACATGAATGAACATCTGAGCATGCCGCCTACATGCCTGCCTGACTCTGACAGCGCCAAGGGTCCAACATGGGCTCCAACAGCTCCGAACGTTCTGCGTGGTTCACCCCTGACAGCTCAGATCGTCAGCGAGCTAAGAACACATCGAGCACCCGACGCGAAGGTCTTCAGACGAAGGTCAGCACCTTCGGTCTGCATTCAATTAGGTGAAGGACACGTAGGACACGGTGTCTTCGGTGCAAAATTGGAGGCCAAGATCGTCGGCATTCTCAACCGTTCGGTCGGTGTAGGGAATTGAAGGGAATATACAGGAATGTTGAGTCGCAACCCTGAAACTTCTTCCTCACTTGTTCCGCTTTGCATCTTCTTCCGCCATGATTCCGTGCTTGTAAGTTAAAACACGCCTGAAGATCCTCGGCTCAAAAGCTAGGTGCCTACCTGTGTCAGGCGTGTGTGTGTGTGTGCCAAAGTTACCCAAGAAATCCCAAGAATCTATCTTTGAATCATCGCTTCAAGAATTCGAATCTGCCAGATGTGGTTGAATCTTCAGACTTTGGGACTCCCCAAAAAGGTCCACCAAAACGCTCACAATTTTGGCGCCCGCTGATCTCCCAGTCACTCCAGTCCAGTCGGTCTTTCCACCCCATACCGAGAATAAAACCACCACCTGCACAGCTCAAAACGAGGAAAAAGGCCACGCGCCTATGACCGTGACGATGAGGAGGACGAAGGTGACGACCAAAGCACAGCAAATCCAACGGCATCGGGACCAATGCCACCTCTGATGCAACTGGCGCACCTGTTCACGCACCCATTCAATGCGTGACTCGTGGCCCGACGGTGGTCCCAAGACTGGAAGCAGTTGCAAGGAATGAGGGCAAACAGAAGGGGAAGGCTTTTCTGCCTGACTGAAGCACACATCAAACCATCTAGGCAAATCTACCTCTCCATTGTTGAAGAAAAAGCATGACAACGTCCTATAAGCAAATACTCTGATGGATTTGAAGTAAAAAATGGTTCGAACCCTTCCAACGGAGATTCACCAATCCTTCTAGAAACTTCACCATCACTGGTGGGAATATCACACTGACTTTCCTGATCATGTATCCTGGAGCAAATGGAAACATGGAAAAGTCGGAAAAGCCCCAGCATGGAGAGAATATCATCATCCAACTGTTCTCAAACTTGAGGACTGCCCCCCTTAGAGTGAAAGATCAAGCTTAAGGCACCAACTTCATCCCAATACAAACTTACTAAAGCAAGTGTGTAGAACTCAACTCAAGCAAAAACTCAAGCAAAAAGCGTTTGCCTATATATCTTTTTATATAAAGTCTTTATCACTGATCAGTCTCAGTTTCCTTCGATTCTCGCCTTCTGGTTCCTTCACCTCCATCGACCCGCCCATGTTTTTTCAGGAATCTTCAGCCGTCGCATGTCACTGATGTGGCACAACCCATGTCGACGTTTTTTCCCGAAATATATCATACACGCATTATAATCCATACATATTAGATGGCTGAAGAGTTAAAACAAGGGGGTTCATGATGGTTCATGTGTTTCTTAAGATTCACATGCTCCGAGCTACACAGCTTGATGGTTTTGATTCAACCGTCAAGCCGTGCCTCGGAGGAGTTCTCAGTGCTCAAGGGGGAGCTCTCAGTGGTGCCAGTGGTCTCACATTCGAAGGCGTGACCAATGGCTGGCATGTTCGACATGGAGCGGATGGCAAACAAGTGGGCAAACCAGCCAGATCAAAGGATTCAAGACTTGGAGTGGTGATTACCTTTAGAACACGTAGGTGTGAGATCTGCTGTAATGTGTGAGACATTGATTGGAGGCTGCGCGACTCTGTTAATGTGTCGGCATTTGAACGACACCTGCATTGGTTCTGAGGCTCTGTTGACCATATGGATCTGCTCAAGGAACCTGGAAACATATATTCACCAGGCGCGGGGTTTTAACCAGTTCGCGAAAACAACAAGTCACCTGCAAAACCAGGTATTCCTCACCAAGGTGTGTCGCTGTGGTGTTGCTGTGAATTTCCGGGCTGAAGCGAGCGAGTGGGTGGGCTTCGGGAGGTTCCACTGGCTGTAAAGTGGGTGGGAATGTACCGCGGATGTTCTGTTATGCAAATGTGTCTGCTTCGCCTTCTTTTCAAGGCAATCGCCAACTCTTGGTCCCCAGTTTCTTCTCATCTTGCTTAAACCACGCGGCGCAAACAAGGTACCTCGTGCTCATGATAAAGAGTCAACGTCTTTCCATGTCACCCAGGCCCCTGGCAACCTGACGTGCTTGAAAGTGTGTTTTGCTTTGTTCTCATCTTATGAAAAAGTCATATAGTGAATACAGTGCCCTTACTCTCAAGTCCTCAAGGCATTCATCAACAAACTCTCCCATCCCAACGAGCTGGGAGTGGACATCAGAAGCTGGCCTGATGTTGGGAAATGTGGCCTGGACAAATACAGGACGTGCTTGGACACTTAGGTCCTGCATGAAAGAAAGCATCCCGACACTAGGAGTTGGATATATGATATAGATAAATGTATAATGATATCTGCGCATATTATAAGGGCCTACCTGGTAGTTGTGTCTGGACGTGCTGCATAAACCATGGAGAAAACAAATAACTACTAACTACTGTACCAGGTACAGAATCGGGCTCTGCCTGGGTCACCCCAACCCCCTCCAGCCACTCTGAGCTGTCCGAACGACAGGCCACGGCGCCCTGCTTCCGCAGGACCATGCTAGGATCCACCTCACCCAAGGTCTCCTGGCGCGACCAGCGCGACCTTGACCAACTCCGCAAGTTTGGGAGACCTGCGGGTGTCAGGATTGATTTTAGATTTTAGGGATGATGTTTGGATATGCTTGGGGTATGTCCTACCAGGGCCCGTTGTGGACGACGATGAGGGTTAGGAAAGGGCTTTCTCCAGTGCTACTGCATGCTACTGCAATTGTTTTAGACTGTTACAGGTAATGGGACAGACCCAAAGGATGTTGTAAAAATCCGTTTGTTCGGATCAAAACCCCACAGCCACCCGGTCGCAACGACGCAGGGCTCACGACCGAAAAGGCTCAAGCCAAGCAACGCAGGCGAGCACTTGCAGGTTTCGTCGAGCCACCGCAAAGTACATCAAATGCAGGACCTGCCATGCTTTCTTTTGAACAAAAAGCTGGCAATCCCGATTTTTAGGAAGGTGCAATCTCTACCCCAGTTGGTACTGCATAACACTTTCTGGTAAAGTCTATGTTTCCGGCATGGAATCTTGATGCTTGGGCCTGCCCCAACTCACAAGTTGAATTTGGAGAAAAACATCCCCCAAGCCCCAGGTCTTTTGGTTCAGGGCGCATCACTCCACGTCTGATCACTCCGAGCAAAATGCACATGGTTCATGTCCAACGCTGGGACACTGGGGCTCTACCCGGAGTGACTCTCATCAGCACACACCCTCACCGAAACGACATGATGACGATCTAGGGCAAGCATGATGATGTGATTAGCATTCTTGAGCTGATGGTATTGGGCTGGCAAATCAACATGATAAGGATCTGGCATGATGAATCATGATGAGCATTGGATCTTCCTTCTAGGTCAGGTAAAAAATACCCTTCACTCGATGGCTTGGGCTCCCTGGCCGCTTTGCGTGCCTCGAGAGTTTTCTGCGGCGTTCTTCGAGGGGGCGTACTCTGGGAAAGAACTGGACTTTTCTTGCGACGCCAAGCACTTCTTCGGGTCCCAACGACTTCTTTGGGCCCCAACGACTTCTTGGGGTCCCAAAAGCAGAAGGGTGGTGAAATATAATCTTACACTCCCTGGAATTGTCAGGCCCTAGGGATCAACATACCTTATCAGAAGGTAACTTGGTTTCTTCAATGACCTTTTCAGACCTTTTCAAAGAGTATGTACATCCATACGGATGGAAGTGGATGGCATGACCCCCAAAAAAATGACCATGAAATCCTCTACAAACCGGTTGTGAACTCATGTGAGCTCCACTTCCATAATGATTCTATATAGGGGGTGTGAGGGTCATGAACTGTCTGCTACCTCAGGAGCCTGTCTGGTGGGACAGTGATGATGGAGCGCTTCCCTCATCCTCATGAGAGGTGCATATTGGTTTGGCAAAGTGTCAGAGTGCCATCCTGCGGAAGCTCCAAGTGGCTTGGGAGCTGTTTTGCAAAGCTCGCCAAAGGTTATGAGCATTCGCTCAGTGCGCATGCAACCAGCAAGAGCTCAGTGCAGGACTGGTGCGTGGTCTTTCAAGAAGCTTCTGTAGTTCAGCATGGGCCAGGTCCTCGAGTTCGGCATCGAAAGGTATCCTCGATGAGTAACAAGCTTTTGGGATCCAAGTCAAGTTTTTTGGAGGCTGTTTGATAATAGCAAACCAACTCTAATGTAGATAGATAGATAAGAAAGAAATCAAAAATAATTAAGCACAAAAAAAGATGGAAACAAGATGGAGCCCACGAACCCGAATGCAAACACGTTCGAAAAGCTACATATGTCCAGATGACACAACTTGTAGGACACTCTTGTGGGACACTCTTGTGGGTCACTCTTGTAGGAAACTCTTGTGGGACACTCTTCGGGACACTCTTGTGGGACACTCTTGTGCGACACTCTTGTGGGACACTCTTGTGGGACACTCGAGTAGGAAACTCTTGTGGGAGACTCTTGTGGGACACTCTTGTGGGACACTCTTGTGGGACACTCTTGTGGGACACTCCTGTGGGACACTCATTTGGGACACTCTTGTGGGACAGTCTTGTAGGACACTCTTGTGGGACACTCTTGTGGGATACTCTTGTGGGTCACTCTTGTAGGAAACTCTTGTGGGACACTCTTACGGGACACTCTTGTGGGACACTCTTGTGCGACACTCTTGTGGGACACTCTTGTGGGACACTTTAGTAGGAAACTCTTGTGGGAGACTCTTGTGGGACACTCTTGTTGGACACTCTTGTCGGACACTCTAGTAGGAAACTCTTGTGGGAGACTCTTGTAGGACACTCTTGTGGGACACTCCTGTAGGACACTCTTGTGGGACACTCTTGTGGAACACTCTTGTGGGACACTCTTGTAGGAAACTCTTGTGGGACACTCTCGTAGGACACGCTTACACTGTTGCGGGACACTCTTGTGGGACACTCCTGTGGGACACTCATTTGGGACACTCTTGTGGGACAGTCTTGTAGGACACTCTTGTGGGACACTCTTGTGGGATACTCTTGTGGGACACTCTTGTAGGACACTCTTGTGGGATACTCTTGTAGGAGACTCTTGTGGGACACTCTTGTAGGACACTCTTGTGGGACACTCTTACGGGACACTCTTGTGGGACACTCTTGTGCGACACTCTTGTGGGACACTCTTGTGGGACACTCTAGTAGGAAAC